ATACATAACTAACAAAATATTGTAATCAACCAAATCATAAAATTTCAATAATTTCAGTTTACAGAATAATATATTAGATGGATAATAGTAATGTTTTCAAGTGATAACTCTTATAGCTCTTTTTTGCAAAACAAAAACAGGATGTGTAATTGTCTTACATGCAGTTTTTTCTTCTTTCATCATTGATGACGTTGAAGGAAATTTTATGAGTGATTAACTGTGATCAACTATAGCCATTTGCTTTAAACAGGGAGAGAATCAGTATGTGTTCCTCTGCAGATAAACAAAGAATTGTTGACATTCCAAGGTTTGACGTAAAAGGTACCACCCCCAGGGTGTGTCCACCAGGGTGTTTGGGTTTTTTAGACGCACACAAGACTAGAGGAAGACTCTGGCGTAAGCAGGTGCAGGGCAGTAGAGAGGGTCCTTCTTTTGGTTCTGATAAGACTCGGGGCCATACAGGCACCCGGAGACAGCGGCTCTGACAATGAGATGTTTTTATATAGCTGAAGAATAAAGACTATTAACAGAGAATTCACTTGGTTTTCCGCACAACGTGGGTTTTCTCCAGGTAACCTGATTTTGTCTCTCAGACCAAACACTTGGTTCATTGGTAACTCAAAATTGTCCCTACAGGTAAGAATGTGAATGGTTGTTTGTCTCCATGTGGACTTAGAACCTGTCCAGTGCCCTGTCTTTGATGGTCACCACTGGAGACCACCTCTCTGTGACATAGAAAGAGAAAAAAATTTGTTAAAAAAATGGTTGGATGGAAAAAGCAACATGGCATCATAAAGGGTTAATACTGACACCTCTGTTAACTGCAGCTGAGGGCTGTCAAATATTTATAGAAATATAAATGTAATGTTTAAAAGTTATCTAAAATTTRAAAACAAAAGTGGAACATGAGACTGGTTTCTGCCTAGTGTTCCTCTTTATCCTCATTTAGCCTTTCCATCATGTCTTCTATTTAGAGAAAAAAATAAAACAACTGCTTTTCTTATATTCTGTCTTGCAGGGATGTATCACCACCCTGACTTCAGCTCCCATCAGGGGGGGCTCAGACCTCCTTGCCATGGCAGACTCAGACATCCATCCACTACTCTTTCATCCCATCCAACGTGGACTCTGTGCTGAAACTTTGTTCATGTTTTTAATAAACCATTTCATCACAGGTTGTTGGCAAAGTCTCCTCTGGTCTAACATACCAAGTGTTGAAACTGAGATTTTTGTTTTATTGTGGTTTGAAAAACATTCTCGTTTTTTTTTTTTTTTTTTTGCTGGCAACATGGCTGAAAAAAGTTGGGACGAGCGTTTGTTTCCTGCTGCGTTGAATCATCGCTTCTTCAACAACACTTTGAGTCTGAGAACCATCCCGTTTAAACACCCAGAGCCAGACTTTATGATCTCCAGGTTTTCTGAAAGTCTTTTAAGTTTTTCTCTGGAATTTTCCTGCTTTTCCACATTTTTCTCATAGACACACAACGTACTGTAGAAGTGTGCTAAAAAATGTGAAAAGTGGACAAGTCGAACATAAAAGAATTATTAACAACAGTCTATCTTCATGCCATTATACTCTCAACCATGTTGTACTTTTTACCTGTTTGGTCTCTAACAACAAATGAAATCTTAGAATCCATAGTTAGGCTCTACAACTGGGCCTACAAAATTCATAAAAAACTTCCTGGTTGGACTCATCACTGTACAGTTCTTTCATTGTCTGATGACTTGACTTTTCAGAATTATGTTTTG